AGGACTACCGTGTGAGCAAACACGGCACAGCTATGATGCAAGTCTCTAAAGGGGGCAAAGGTCACCTGTCTCCATTTCAGGCAGCTTCCTTTTCCTCCCGCCCCCCTCCCCAAATCCCAAGCCTCTGCTGAGACAAAACACCACCCTTGTAAAGCCCACCCACGGAAGGAAGCCGGGCCCCACAGCAACCACGGCCCACCCCAGGCCTCGGCTTCTCCCTCCAGACGCTCTGGACTCCCAACTCCTCGGGCCCTTCAGCCATTTCAGTGGGAAAGGAAAGGGAAAAGGAAGGGGCTGCAAGGGACGGTGGGAGTCGGAGTCCAAAACACCCAGGGGGAGGGTGGGAGGGAGGGAGGGGGGGGGCACAAGTTGGCCCATGCCTGAGCCACAGCCGGGCAGGGAAGGGGGGCAACCAGCGCCTCTCCAAATACGGCCAACCCATTGTTGGCTTGTTGGCATCACTGGCTACGCAATGGCTCTTGTAATTTTACTTGAAATGAACTTGTGGTGTTTGTGTAGTCAGCTATGTCCATGTTTTATATTAAGTTACTTGATGGGCTCTATTTAATTTGCGGCTGCGCGTTTTGAGGAACTTTGTGCCATCTGTCAGCCACCCCGAGTCCCTTTGGGGAGAGTAACGTTGTTATTATCATTAATTTGACTAAAGATGTCATAGAATCATAGAATCCAGGAGTTGGAGGAGACCTCCTGGGCCATCATCCAGTCCAACCCCATTCTGCCAAGAAGCAGGAATGTTGCATTCAAATCACCCCTGACAGATGGCCATCCAGCCTCTGTTTAAAAGCTTCCAAAGAAGGAGCCTCCACCACACTCCGGGGCAGAGAGTTCCACTGCTGAACGGCTCTCACAGTCAGGAAGTTCTTCCTCATGTTCAGGTGGAATCTCCTCTCTTGTAGTTTGAAGCCATTCCTCCATTGCGTCCTAGTCTCCAGGGAAGCGGAAAACAAGCTTGCTCCCTCCTCCCTGTGGCTTCCTCTCACATATTTCTACATGGCTATCATATCCTCTCAGCCTTCTCTTCTTCAGGCTAAACATGCCCAGCTCCTTAAACCGCTCCTCATAGGGCTTGTTCTCCAGACCTTTTATCATTTTAGTTTGTTTTGGGACTGGTCAGGTTGTTATTGTACTTGTATTAGAATGTATGTTCTTGTTAAGGTACTGAATGTTTACCTTTTGTTGGCTGGAATCCACCCTGACCCCACCCCCCCCCTTCTCAGGGAGAGTGAGAAATCGGGCAACAAAAGTGATATTATTATTATTATTATTATTATTATTATTATTATTATGACTTTCCTGGAGATGTTTGAATACTGGATGAGAGGCTCCCCCCTGGGCACACAAGGCAGGGTGGCCTGGAAAAATAATAATAATAATAATAATAATAATAATAATAACAACAATAACAATAATAATAATAACTTTATTTATACCCTGCCACCATCTCCTCAAGGGGACTCGGGGTGGCTTAAATAGTAATAATAATATTAATAATATTAATATTAATAATAATAATAATAATAACTTTATTTATACCCTGCCACCATCTCCTCAAGGGGACTCGGGGTGGCTTAAATAGTAATAATAATATTAATAATATTAATATTAATAATAATAATAATAATAACTTTATTTATACCCTGCCACCATCTCCTCAAGGGGACTCGGGGTGGCTTAAATAGTAATAATAATATTAATAATATTAATATTAATAATAATAATAATAATAATAATAATAACTTTATTTATACCCTGCCACCATCTCCTCAAGGGGACTCGGGGTGGCTTAAATAGTAATAATAATATTAATAATATTAATATTAATAATAATAATAATAATAATAATAATAACTTTATTTATACCCTGCCACCATCTCCTCAAGGGGACTCGGGGTGGCTTAAATAGTAATAATAATATTAATAATATTAATATTAATAATAATAATAATAATAACTTTATTTATACCCTGCCACCATCTCCTCAAGGGGACTCGGGGTGGCTTAAATAGTAATAATAATATTAATAATATTAATATTAATAATAATAATATTAATAATAATAATAATAATAACTTTATTTATACCCTGCCACCATCTCCCCAAGGGCTCGGGGTGGCTTAAATAATAATATTAATATTAATATTAATATTAATATTAATAATAATACTTTATTTATATTCTGCCACCATCTCCCCGAAGGGACTCGGGGCGGCTAACATGAGGCCAAGCCCGTCAAATGCAAATACAACAAGCCATCAACAAAGCAAGCAAGCAAATAAAACAAGATAAATAGTATAGCTAAACATGGAAGGGACTGAACAGACTGCGCTCGGGCACCACGAGGTGCAAGCCAACCTTAAGAAATGGGGCCACCAAGTGCAGTCCACGACATGCGAGTGCGGAGAAGAGCAAACCACTGACCACATGCTACAGTGCAGCCTGGGCCCTGCCACATGCCCCATGCGGGACCTTCTCGCAGCCACACCAGAGGCACTCCAGTTGGCCAGCGACTGGTCAAAGGACATTTAGTATCATGCCAAGTTTGCAAACTTTGTGTGTATGTTTTTAAATACATAACAACTGTGCTCTTAGTTGACGGCATGGAGTATCATTTGCCACCACCACCCCCACTTGTCCCTTCCTTCCACAGTGGTCGTAGTGGCACCATGGGTTAATCTGCTGAGCTGCTCAACTTGCTGACTGGAAGGTTGGTGGTTTGAATCCGCAGGATGGGGTGAGCTCCCGTTGTTAGCCCAGCTCCTGCCAGCCTAGCAGCTTGCAAACCTGCAGGTGTGAATAGCTCAATAGGTACTGCCTTGTGGGAGGGGAGGTAAATGATGCTCCATGCAGCCATGCCGGTGTCCACATGACTTTGTCGTGTCAGGAGTGACTTGAGAAACTGCAAGTCGCTTCTGGTGTGAGAGAATTGGCCGTCTGCAAGGACTTTGCCCAGGGGACATTGCCCGGATGATTTGATGTTTTATCATCCTTGTGGGAGGCTTCTCTCATGTCCCCTTTGTATGAGGAGCTGGAGCTGACAGAGGGAGCTCATCTGCCTATCTCTGGATTCTAATCTGCAACCTGTTGGTCTTCAGTCCTGTTGGCACACTGCACCACRGGGGGCTRCACAGGGTTGGTGGTTCGAATCCACAGGATGGGGTGAGCTCCCACTGTTAGCCCCAGCTCCTGCRGACCTAGCAGTTTGCAAACAGGCAGGTGCGAGTGGCTCAGTGTCTTGCGGGGAAGGTAAAGGATGCTCCATYCAGCCATGCTGGTGTCCACATGACTCTGGAGGCGGCTAGGGACAAGGCCGGCTCTTGGGCTCAGAAAAGGAGGCGAGCCCAGCAGAGGCGGAAGGGGAAGGCTTCCCTCCCTTGGTTGTGCCTGTTAGCCCCAGCTCCTGCCGACCTAGCAGTTTGCAAACAGGCAGATGTGAGTGGCTCAGTGTCTTGGGGGGAAGGTAGATGATGCTCCATGCAGCCATGCTGGTGTCCACATGACTCTGGAGGCGGCTAGGGACAAGGCCGGCTCTTGGGCTCAGAAAAGGAGGCGAGCCCAGCAGAGGCGGAAGGGGAAGGCTTCCCTCCCTTGGTTGTGCCTGTTAGCCCCAGCTCCTGCCGACCTAGCAGTTTGCAAACAGGCAGATGTGAGTGGCTCAGTGTCTTGGGGGGAAGGTAGATGATGCTCCATGCAGCCATGCTGGTGTCCACATGACTCTGGAGGCGGCTAGGGACAAGGCCGGCTCTTGGGCTCAGAAAAGGAGGCGAGCCCAGCAGAGGCGGAAGGGGAAGGCTTCCCTCCCTTGGTTGTGCCTGTTAGCCCCAGCTCCTGCCGACCTAGCAGTTTGCAAACAGGCAGATGTGAGTGGCTCAGTGTCTTGGGGGGAAGGTAGATGATGCTCCATGCAGCCATGCTGGTGTCCACATGACTCTGGAGGCGGCTAGGGACAAGGCCGGCTCTTGGGCTCAGAAAAGGAGGCGAGCCGGAAGGGGGAGGCTTCCCTTCCTTGGGCTTGGCTGTGCCCTTCCTTCCTTCCCCTCACCTCCCTCCCTCCCTCCCTCCCCCCCGGCACTCTGCACTTGCCCCGGAGCCCCCCCTCTCTCTCTCTCTCTCTCACCATCTTGACGATGCCGCGCTGGAGGGCGGGCGCCTGGGCCGGGGAGGCAGAGCCAGAGGCGGAGGCGGAGGCGGAGGAGGAGGAAGCGGCGGCGTTGGTGCCGGCGGAGGACGCCATGGGGCCGGCGGGGGGGCTGCTCACTCCTGCGAACGAAGGAAGGAAGGAAGGAAGGAAGGGAAGAAGGGAGAGAGAGGGAGGGAGAGAGGGAGAGGGAGAGGGCGGGCAGGAAGCGGCCGGGGAGGGGGCGTGGCCGGGCGCCTTCAGCCAACCAGGGGGCGCCTCCCGGGGCCCCGCCCACCTCGCTCCGCCAGGGCCAATCCGCGCGGCCAGAGGCGCCCAGCGAGGGAAGGGCAGCGCCTTCAAACCACAGCGGGGGAGGGAGGGACTTCCGGGGCAGGCAGGCAGCCCGCCCGCCCGAAGGACACGTCGGCACACGCGCACGTGGGACTGGGGCGGAGGGGAGGGGAGGGGGGGCGGGGCCTCCTCGGGCACGTGGTCCCAGCCGGCCAGCCCAGGCCCCGCCCCCTCGCTCCCTCCCAAGCGCTTCCAAGCCGCTTCCAAGCCGCGAACGCCCCGTAAGCGGCTTGGAAGCGCTTGGGAGGGAGCGAGGGGGCGGGGCCTGGGCTGGCCGGCTGGGACCACGTGCCCGAGGAGGCCCCGCCCCGCGGCGTTGGGGACTCCAGCTCCCACCATTCCTCGCAGCAGCAGCAGCCGGCAACGTGTTCCTTGATTCGTGTTTGGGCAAAGCTGCTGCGTTTGGTTCAGCCAGAGAAGTCAGCCAGAGCAGAGCACCTGAGGAACCACCTGGACACAGCATGTTATTGGAGAACACAGAAGTGCTGGGAATGCCACTCTCACAACCACCATGTCCGGCTACACAGAGAAGCAGCCATGGACATCCACAAGAAGCAGGTGGGGAATTCCAACAGAAAGGAAGAAACCAGGAAAATGAACACAATCTGGCTGCCAGTATTGAAAAAACTCTAAAATCACAACAGCAAAACAACAGAAGGGAAACAATTTGGGACATCTAATCACCTCTCAACAAAAGATTGCGCCAGGCACTGTCAGGCCATTATATGCTAATCAAGGTGGTCAGTTGAAACATTCACACCTAGCTCCAGCAGAGAAGAGCTCTTTACCCCACCCCTGTCTGTCATTCCACAGGTATATAAACCCTTTTGCACAACAACAACAACAATAATACATCACACAGCCCTAGACACTTGGGAAGGGTCCCACGTGGGATCCAACACAACAGCCAGCACCGTGTCTGCTGTGGACTCACCTTGTTGTTGTGTTGTTGCAAATAATAATAATAATACTAATAATACTCCATGAGGCCAAGCCCGGCAAGACAGACTCCAGCAAAATGAAAGCCAGAACCACAAAAACAAAAATAGGCAAAACAATCTGGTGAAATAACTGGGAAAAACAGAATACATATATAAATAAATACATGTAAACAAATGTATAATATGATAATGCAACCCTGGACCTTCACAGAGATATAAACCAATTTTACTTGTTTCCAGCAGACCTCACAACCTCTGAGGGTGCCTTTAGCCACAGGCGCAGGCAAAGTGTCAGGAGAGAATGCTTCCAGAACATGGCCAGAAAAACTACAACAACCCAATGCAAGAAACGGTTTCATATTTTGTGATGATCCCTCGCAATACGGTAGATGTTAGGTAAAATAACTGAAAACAATAGGAGAAATGTGGATGGAAGTACACACTATTTTAATATTAATACTAGCCATCCCCTGCCATGCGTTGCTGTGGCCCTTTGTGTGTATATATATGTGTGTATATATGTGTGTGTGAGGGTATATGTGGGGGACATGAGAGAAGCCTCCTCGCAGGATTGCAAGACATCCGGGCATCCCCAGGGCAACGTCTTCGTAGACGGCTGATTCTCTCAATCCAGAAGCAAGCAGCAAGCAGGGTATATGTGTGGTTTTGCTCATGCGTTGTAATGTATTTTTAGTGTTTTGGCTTATTAAGTCTCTTCTGCTGTGTTTTTCAGTGTTCTTCTGAGTGATGGTCACTCGTTGGCCGGAGGGGTGCCTTGTGTCCAAATTTGGTGTCCATTCGCCCAGTGGTTTCTGAGTTCTGTTCATCCCACAAATAAACATGACATTTTTATTTATATAGATACTAGCTGTCCCCTGCCACGTGTTGCTGTGGCCCAGTCTGTGTATATGTGTTTTTTGTGTGTATATGTTTGTGTATATATATTTGTGTAATGTGTGTTTGTTTGTGTATGTATATATGTGTGTGTGTGGTTTTGCATGTGTGTTGTAATGTATTTTTGGTTTTTTGGTGTGGGTTTTTTTTTGCTTTTTAAGTCCCTTCTGCTGTGTTTTTCAGTGTTTTTCTGAGTGATGGTCACTTGTTGGCCTGAGAGGGGTCTTGTGTCCAAATTTGGTGTCAACTTGTCCAGTGGTTTTTGAGTTATATTAATTATATTATATCATATTAATTCCAAATTTATATCGATTGAGACAGAAATGAGACTAATTGAAAAGACTTTGGGAAACAGAAATGACAATTAACAGATTTATCGATATTTATTGATGACCAAAGTCCATGTATTGGAGAGATGGCCCAAAGTCTCCCCCTGAGGGTTGGGGGCTGTTGGCCCTGGAGAGAAGGCCGAGGGAGGGGCACGTGCTTCCCTATCTATGGGAAGGGCGTCCCGTCGAGGAGAAGGGGGAGGAGGAAGAGCGGGGGGGGGGGGGGGGAGGCATTGTTTGCTGGGACACAGCAGGCCGGGGGGGGGGGGGGGGTCCAGCTGCTAGGAAAGTCCGACGTTCACAGTAGAAGATGGCTTGTCCCTTGAGTCCAAATCACCCCTGACAGATGGCCATCCAGCCTGTTTCAAAGCTTCCAAAGAAGGAGCCTCCACCACACTCCCTCCGGGGAAGGCAGAGAGTTCCACTGCTGAACGGCTCTCACAGTCAGGAAGTTCTTCCTCATGTTCAGGTGGAATCTCCTTCCTTGTAGTTTGAAGCCATTGTTTACTGTATTCTCATGTTTTCTTGTATTGTTGTTTTATGCCTTGGTTTTGTTTTGTTTTATTGTAATGTGTTGTTGGGCTTGGCCTCAGGAGAAGGTGGCGGGGATCAATAAAGATGATGATGATTATTATTATTACTATTATCTGAAGGGAGATGTTAACAAGCTGGAAAGAGGTCTGAGGAGGACGACTCAAAGGATGGGGGGGGGGTGTCTGGAGAATAAGCCCTCCCCCCAGGACTGAGCGGCTGAAAGAGCTGCTGCTGGGCAGGTTGATCCTGGAGAAGAGAGAGAAGGCTGAGAGAGAGGAGCCAGGAGGAGGGCCGGAGATGGGGGGGGGGGGGGGGCTCGGGAGGAGGAAGAGGAGGAGGAGGGAGGGAGCTTCCTTTCTGCTTCCCTGGAGAGAGACTAGGACGCAAGGGAGCCATGGCTTCAAACTACAAGAGAGGAGATTCCACCTGAACATGAGGAAGAACTTCCTGACTGTGAGAGAGAGCCGTTCAGTTCAGCAGGGGAACTCTCTTTCTCTCTCTTTCTCTCTCTCTCTCTCTCTGCCCCGGAAGGAGTGTGGTGGAAGGAGGCTCCTTCTTTGGAGGCTTTGAAGCAGAGGCTGGACAGCCATTTGTGGGGGGGGGGGGCTTTTGAGGCTGTTTTTCTGCTTCTGGGCAGAATGGGATGGGTCATGGCCCACCAGGTCTCTCCCCACTCTAGGATTCCATGAGCACACCCAAATGGGCAGGATCTCCAGTGGCTGAGGGGGGAGAAATAATGAAGAGTTAGGAAATGGGGGGGGGGGGGCGTGCCTTCGGGTATTTGAAAAAGAAGAATTATAGAATCCTAGGATCCTAGAGTTGGAAGAGACCTCCTGGGCCACCATCCAGTCCAACCCCATTCTGCCAAGAAGCAGGAATATGGCGTTCAAATCACCCCTGACAGATGGCCACCCAGCCCCTGCTTAAAAGCTTCCAAAGAAGGAGCCTCCACCACACTCCAGGGCAGAGAGTTCCACTGCTGAACGACTCTCAAAAACAGATGTTGAAATTGCTGCAAGGGAAGTCTCTTAATGTCACGTTAGGTCCTAGTTCCACATGGCGTGGTATCAGAAGTCACGGGTGGGGGTTCACAGGTGGGAAGGGGGAGGTGGTGGGGCTGGGGAAATAATATTTGCACCTCGATTGAGTGTGGCATTTGGAAGGTGGCACCCTGTCTTCCTCCCCCCCCCCCATAGAACACCACAATAAAATGGAAGGGCGGGCCTGGGGGCAGCCCTAGAGGCATAGTAATACAGGAGAGTGGGAAGAGACCCCCGGGGGGGGGCATGTAATCCAACCCCCATTCTGCAGGAAAAGCACCGTCGAAGCCCTCCGGCATATCTCTGCTTCCAAGCCTCCAAGGAAGGGGTCTCCGCCGGACTCCGAAGCAGAGAGTTCCGCTGTTGAAGGGCTCTCCTGGGGGGCAGGTTCTTCCTTGGGGGGGGGGCTCCCGGCTGCCCTTGTGGTCCCCTTCCTCCCTCGCCCCCTCCCCCTCCCCCCGCGAGCCAGAGAAGCCTAGTGCCGGGCCAGAGCCCGCTCCCCCTTTATCCGCGGAGAGAGAGCGGGTCTCAGGGACTCTCTCGGGCCTTCCGTCGGGGCTGATCCCGGCGGAGGGGGAGGGGCGGGGAGGGGAGGGGGAGGAGGGCTGGTTAATGAGTAATGGGGCCAGATGGCGGATCCCTCCACCGGGGGCGGGGGGCGCCCAATGGGGAGGAGGGAGGAGGGTCCAGGCGCCCGACGGGAGGCAAGGCGAAGCCCGAGGCAGGGAGGGAGGCGGCCCGGCTGTTGTTTGCTCGCCAAATATTGTCCCGAACCATCTGGGCCGAGGGGGGGGGGGGGGAGCGAGCGATGGAGGAGGGACAGCCCCTTCCTTCCTTCCTTCTTTCCTTCCTCCCCTCCAACAAAGCCCAGGCGCCGCTGGGAAGAGACGCAGCAGGAGGCTTCGGAGGGAGGGAGGGAGGGAGGACGGACAGGCGCGCCAGGGATCCATCTCTCCCGCTAGCCTGCCTGTCTTCCGGGGCTTGGTCTTTGGAGCGCCCCTCCCGCCTCGTTTTGGGACCCCCAGGCAGGCAGGCAGGCAGGCAGGCAGACCCCGACGCCCGGTGAGAAGGAGGGAAAGCCACCCACCGGGACAGAGGGAGGGAGGGAAGGAAGGAAGGAAGGAGGGAAGGAAAGGAGGGAGAAAGGCAAGGCGGAGGAGAAGAGAAGAAGGAAGGAAGGAAGGCTCCCCGACGGCTCTCTCCGCCGCTCCGTCCTCGGCCGGCCAAGGCGCCGCTGCTCAATCCGGAGTAAGAAAGGGAGGCAGGGAGGCTGCGAGAGAGGCAGGCAGGCAGGCAGGCAGGCAGGCAGGCAGGGAAGGAAGGAAGGAAGGAAGGAAGGAGGGAAGGAAAGGAGGGAGAAAGGCAAGGCGGAGGAGAAGAGAAGAAGGAAGGAAGGAAGGCTCCCCGACGGCTCTCTCCGCCGCTCCGTCCTCGGCCGGCCAAGGCGCCGCTGCTCAATCCGGAGTAAGAAAGGGAGGCAGGGAGGCTGCGAGAGAGGCAGGCAGGCAGGCAGGCAGGCAGGCAGGCAGGGAAGGAAGGAAGGAAGGAAGGAAGGAGGGAAGGAAAGGAGGGAGAAAGGCAAGGCGGAGGAGAAGAGAAGAAGGAAGGAAGGAAGGCTCCCCGACGGCTCTCTCCGCCGCTCCGTCCTCGGCCGGCCAAGGCGCCGCTGCTCAATCCGGAGTAAGAAAGGGAGGCAGGGAGGCTGCGAGAGAGGCAGGCAGGGAGGGAGGAGGGAGGGAGGGAAGGAAGGAAGGAAGGAAGGAAGGAAGGAAGGAGCCGGCGCGGAGCCAGGGAGCCAAGGCAAGCGAGGGAGGGAGGAAGGAAGGAAGGAAGAGGCGCTGTCCGGCCCAAAGGTGCTGAACCAGGAGGCGCCGCGCTCCCGGACCGACGGCCAGGAGGAAGGCAGGCAGGCAGGCAGGCAAGGAGGCCAAGTCCGCGCCCTGAAAGGGGGGAAGTCGAGCCCCCCCAGCTCAGCCCTTCCCCGCGCTTCCCCCGCAGGACTCCGCTGCCGAAGGAAGAGGAAGAGGAAGAAGACTTCCCGTTGGCGGGATGCAGGGTAGGCCCGCCCCTCCGCCCTGACTCCCCTCGCAACGGAGGCCCGGAGACTGCCCGCCTGCGCCCCCCTCCCACCCCTCCCCGTGGGGGACACCCCCCCTCCCCCCTCCCCCGCCAAAAGTTCCCTATTGGTGTGTTTCCGAAAGGGCCCCCCTCAGAAGTGGGAAGCCCCCCCCCAATCCACGCGTGCCTTCTCCTCCCCCGTTCTCCCCACCCCCTCGCTGCCAGGTCCGCCGTGGTGCGTGAACCAGCGCGGGGGGGCCTTCTTGCGTGGCTTCCCCCTCCCGGAGTCCACGAGGCGGAGGATGGCGCTGATGGCCGCCCAGGGGGAGCCCCCCTCCCGCATCGCCCGACAGCTCAAGGTCAGCGCCAGGTGCGGGCAGGAGGGATCGAGGGAGGGGGGTCTGAGAGCCACGCCCCCCTCACTCCCATCTCCCCCCCCCCCGCAGGTCTCGGAGGGCAGCGTGAGCCAGATCCTGGGCCGCTTCCGGAGGACGGGGAGCCTGGAGGCGGGGGCCCCGAGGGGAGGGCGCCCCCGCTCCGCCACCACCTCCGCCTAGCCCCCGCCCTGGCCGCGCTCCTGGCCGACCCTTCAGCCCCCCACACACGCCCCTCCGCCGCGGAGATCCGCCGCCGCCTCCAGCAGGAAGGACTCGGCCCCCGGGGAGGAGGGGCGGCGCTGCCTAGCGTAAGCCGGGACCCGAGGGGAGGGGAGGGGAGGGGAGGGGAGGGGGGAAGGAGGCGAGCTCTCTCCTGGGGAGGGGGGCAGGGGAGCTGGGATGGGCCGCACCGCTCTCTCGCCCGCTCCCCAACACCTAAACTCGGGTGAAGTTGGGAAGTCCCTGGCTCCAAGGGAGGCTCCGGAACCGGGGACTTCGGACCGGGAGGGGGAGGGAGAGGGGAGGGGGCCGAAGAGCGGGAGGGACCTGGGACCCCGGGGGCGGGCGGGCGGGGGCGGGCTTCCTCGTTCTCCTCCTGCTTCTCCTCCCCCCCCCCTCCAGGTCTCCTCCATCCGGCGCCTCCTCCGGAGCCTGGAGAGCGGCGGCGCCCGGGTCCCGCACAGCCCTCCGCCCGGAGGTGAGCAGGCGGGGGGGGGGGGAAAAGGGGAGGGGCTGCCGCGGAGGGAGGGGGAATGTCTCACGCCCCGCCCCTTGTCCCCTTCGCAGCAGCAGGAGGAGGGGGCGTCCCCCGGGCCCCCCGCCAGAGCCGGACGGCCTTCTCTCCGCGGCAGCGCCGGGCCCTCGAGGACGGTGAGTCGGGCGGGCGGGCGAGGGGGGAGCGGACACGCGGAAGCCTCGAGGGCAACCTCCCTCCGGGGGGGGGGGGGCTGGGGGGGGGGGGGTCTCTCGAAGGAGGAGGCGCCGGGCTGAGGGCGCGCCGCTCTTCTCCCCCGCAGCCTTCCAGCGCGACCCTTACCCGGAGGCGCCCGCCCGGGCGAAGCTGGCGCAGGAGGCGGGGCTGCCCCTCTCCGCCGTCACCGTGAGTCGTCTTCTCCCCTCCCCCTCTCCCCCTCCCTTCCCTGGGGGCCCCTGCCCCACCCCCTCTGACCCCTCCCCTCCCCCCCCAGGCCTGGTTCTCCAACCGGAGGGCGCGGCGGCGGAGAGAGGCCGAGGCCGCCCCGGACCCCCAGGCTCCCCCCGGTAAGGAAGGAACGAAGGGAGGGTGGCAGGGCGCCCTTCGAGGCGGGGAGGGGCCCGGAGGGGAAGGGAAAGGACGCGGGTGACCGTGGCGGGCCCCCCTCCCACGTGCCTTCTCTTGCCGGCCCCCCCTCCACACCTGGAGCCGGAGTTTGCCTTCCGGGATTCTCGTGCCTGCGTGGGAAACCTCCCCCCCCCCGCTTCCCCCGGGGGATCCTCCTGCGAAACTGCCCCTCCCCCTCCCTCTCTTGACCCCCCTTTCTCTCCGCAGGAGGGGGGCCCTGCTGCTCCTGCGCTTCCTCGGCGGCGGCGTTGTCGTACGAGAGGAGGGTCCCTTGCTGCCCCCTCCCCCCCCCACCCCCCACCCAGCTGCCTGCCTTGACCTCTGGCGGCGCCCCTCAATGACTGACTCGGAGCCTGGGAAGGGGGGGGGGCGGGGGCGGTGCGCTTTATTCTCTCCCATTCTTTCCTTCCTTGGCTAGAAGTCCCAGTGCTGGGGGTGGCGGGCGTCTGCGCGGAGGGCGCCGCGGTGGTCTCCTCGGACGTAGAGCCCGTTGGGGGCGAGCAGGGCCAGGCGGTGGGGGCCCCGCAGCTCCAGGCAGAAGTTCAGCGCCGCGCGCCCCCCGCAGAACAGGCGCCCCTCGCCGCCCACGCCCCAGAAGCCCTTCCCGCGGCCTGCAGAGAAGGGGGGAGGGAGGGAGGGAGGGGGGGCAGAGAAGGGGTCAGTGCCGTCGGGTCCAGGCCCCCTCCCCCAGCCCCCCCCATCCGGCCCGTCCTTACTGCGGAGGTGGTAGACGCCCCGGGCGCAGGGGAGCAGCTCCACCACGTCGGGCTCCAGCCGGTCCCCGCGGAGGGGGAGGAGCAGGCCCCGCTCCCGGTCACACCACGAGGAGGAGGAGGAGGAAGGGGAGGGGGAGGGAGGCGAGCCCCTCCTCCGGCTGCCCACGAAGCCCCTCGCCCCCCGCAGCACCACGAAGGGCCGGTCGGCCAGGCGCAGCCAGAACTCCTCGCTCGGACCTGCAAGGGAGGGA